AGCCAAACCAGTTAGGGTTTTTAGTTGTATTTTTGAAGTGGTTGTGCGAGGCAGCAATTTCCGGTGTTTACCTATGCCGCCATCTTGGTTTTCCAAATTTGGCATTTTTAAAAGATTAAAGCATATTGAAATTAACTTTGTGTGAAAAATGTTTGCTTTTCTCTTTGAAGTATCACCATATACCTTAAGGTCAATAGTTCTGTTCTGTGGGGTTATTGCTAGTTAGGCTAGGGCTGGGCAACAGTACTTTCAAAAATAGATTTTGCCAGTATAAACCCATGTCCATTTACTCATAAACTCTTTCTCATGTAGATTTTTCTCTGTTAGGTCATATGTGTTTTTTTTAATTATAAAAGTAACATATGCTCATTGTAGAGCACTAAGAAAATAAAAAAGAACTTATATTATCCCATAACTCATAGATACTGTTTTTAATATGTTATATTTGCAGTCAGTGAAAATTCTTCAAAAATAATTTTTTTACATGCATTATACATTAATATTTCAAGAAAAATGATTTTAAATATAATAATATTATCAACACTGTACTTACATAGTATAATATCACCAAAGTTGTAGGAAATATTAAAAATCTGTAAATAACAGGATTACTTCTATTATATTCTAAAATATTTTTTTCTCTGGCTCTATATAGGTTCATCAGTTTTTGTTGTTCATTATATTCCACAAATGAGCGAGAAAAATAATTTTTAATAATTATACATTTCAATCTATAGACATACCTTATTTAATGATTGTTCTGTTGTTCGACACCTACATTGCTTCTAAATTTTTACAGTTGGAAATAGTCTTTTTATGATTATCCTTAAATGTAAACTCAGGATTACTAATTATTATTTTGCCCAAATTAATAGATATTAGTGGCTTGACAAGTTTTAAAACATGCCTTTAAAATAAATTTTTATTTTTTATTTTTTAAAATTAAATCTTTATTGTTCATATCATTACAGTTGTTCCTCTTTTTTCCCCCCATAGCTCCCCTCCACCTGGTTCCCACCCCACCCTCCGCCCTTACACCCCCAAACTGTCCTCATTCATAGGTGTACGATTTTTGTCCAGTCTCTACCCACACCCCTTTCCCCCCGAGAATTGTCAGTCCACTCCCTTTCTATGCCCCTGATTCTATTATATTCACCAATTTATTCTGTTCATCAGATTTTTTATTCACTTGATTTTTAGATTCACTTGTTGATAGATATGTACTTGTTGTTCATAATTTTTATCTTTACCTTTTTCTTCTTCTTCCTCTTCTTAAAGGATACCTTTCAGCATTTCATATAATAC